CCTGCTGGGCTGTTATCTGTTTTACTTGTATTTCAGTGAGACTGATTAAATATTTTTGTGGGTACAGTCTGAGAGATGGTGGTGGCATTCAGCTTGACCCCTATCGACCTTTCTGGCTGGACTTCCTGCTATGCCCCCAAAGGCACCTTGCCCTGGTGTTCCCAAAGCCCACAGTGCTCTCAAGTCTTTGTGCCCTTGGATGGTCTCTTCTCACTGCCCATTCAGTTCATTTCTCCCCTCCCCGTCTACTGGATTTCTATTTGTCTTCCTTGGCTTAAAAGCAAATATTGTCACCTCTGCAGAGCCTTCCCTGACCCCAGGCTGAGAGACTCTGTCCCAACTCTGTGTACCTGTATTCTTCTCAAATACCCCAAAACCTTTCCACACTGCTATAATTATTTGTATGTCCCTGTACCCTCTGCACACCTGTAGGCTCCCTGAAGCTGGAAACATGAGGATGGTCTCTTTTAATCTCCAGGGTTTAGCATAGGACCTGGTAGATAGTCAACAAATTTTGTTAAATTACTTAATGAATTAATTCATCTTTACATGATTAATGATAATTTTGGCATTTCTTTAGTTTAAACACCAGTAGAAATATCTTCGGTAGATGAATTCTGCTTTAGATCAACATTTATTGAGTGCTCTGCTACATGCTGGCAGCAGGCCATAGTTCAGGAATGAACTATAGAGACAAGGGAATGTAAGACGCGGTTCTTACATTCATTTAGTTTATCACTGACTTATGAAAATGAAAAGACTCCATGCAAGATAATGAGAAACAATTAGAGAATGTCAACCCAATATGGAATTAGGTTCCCATTTGTCTGTGAAAGGAGCTGGATGGATGTTTTCACCAAATTGGAGGGAAATTATTCAAATGATCTAACTTAAAACATAGATCACATGATATTTGTAAAATTCCCTTTGCGGGGGTCCAGAGAGGGACACTTCAAAAGGAGAGGCAGATGTATTTTGGAGCAGCTGAAAATTGGGCTCAAGGGGCCCACTGGACCTCATAGAGAAAGATCCTAAACATGATGTGACAGTGTACACAGAGACATCAGAGCTGTCAAATGTGAGCTCCATTTCTGAGGTCCCCAGGCAGATGCTCCACTTTGCAGGTAATCTAGAATCAAGCTCCTCCTTATACTCCTCTGCATAGACAGTTCTCTAACTTTTCTCCTTCTCTAAGTCTATCAGCCTTGGTGTTCATTCTCTATTCCTCCCATACTCCACAATCAGTCATTTCAATGTCAGTGTCACCATTTCCCAACACTCCTTTTCTTTCCATCAGCTCCACTCTGCCTATTTCCACTACCCTCTCCACACCTTCATCAGGCCACCATGAGCGTTGAGGGAACACAGTATACTATATCATGGAAATTTGTATTTCCAATCTCTAAGACCTTGGTTCCAAATCTTCACCACTTCCCTTGAGCTCACCACCCATTCCCTCTTCTTTCTGTCTCAGTGGGTGACCTTATCTCCTCTTTTCTCTTCTCCCTCCAAATTGGGGATATCACGAGTGAATGCCCTCATTTCCAGTTCCTGCCTTTCTTACCCTTCCTCCTGTTTGGGAAAACAGGACCCTGTGCTTTCCTCTAAGATGATGCTTACTTGAACTGTGGGTTCCATCTCTTTTCACCTCTTCCAGGACTTCACTCCTTTTTTGTATCTTAATTTTTCTCTTTCAATCGAAAAAACCTACATGAGTCTAAGTCTTTACCAATTTATTAAAGACTAATCTCCTACTCCAGGTCTCACACAAGCAACATTCGCTTTTCTTCTTTTCACCAGTATACTCATCAATAAATGTGTCTACTTCTTGAAAGAATCGTCCACTCTCACAGCCTTTACTTCTTCCCTTAGCATTCACTTCTCTACCTCTCACCTCACGCCAATTTGGTTTCATCCGCCTGCATCGTTCCACACAATCTGCTCAGGAAAATTTTTAGTGCCTTCCTTATGGGCAAATCTGGCCTGTGTTAATTTCTCACTCTTTTGGTCTTCACTGATGACTCTGAAAGTGTTGATTCTTCTTCCTCCTCGAGACTTTCTTCTTATGTGACTATAAAACCACCCGCTTTCATTTTTAATTCCCATCTCCATGCGGGCTCTTTTGGAGTCTCCTTTCCTGCGCCCCCTTCTTCCACTTGCTCCTTCAGTGTGTCATTTCCTGGCATTCCAACTCAGACGTCCCTCCACTCTAGAAATCCACATATGTGATCAAGATCGATCTCTCTCTCCCTCCCTTCCTCCCTCCCTCCCTCCATCTCATCTCTCATCTCATCTCTCATCTCATCTCTCATCTCATCTCTCATCTCATCTCTCATCTCTCATCTCATAACATGGCAGCTTTGGGTTAGCCAGACTCCTTATATGTGTTGGCCGAGGACTCCCAGGGGGGGGAAACCTCATCTCTCATCTCATCTCTCATCTCATCTCTCATCTCTCATCTCATCTCATCTCATCTCATCTCATCTCATCTCATCTCATCTCATCTCATCTCATCTCATCTCATTTCTATCTCCATTATTTCTTTCTCTTCCTCTCTCTCTTCTATTCTATGAGTCCCATATCTAATGGCAGTGCTTGCAGTGTCTTCTCCAATCTCGCTTCATCCCATCCCCTATCCGCAAATCACTGCTTCTCCTATAGCCTTTCTCGCAGGCAATAGCATTTAGTCAATCAAACACCAGGCACTTTCCTAGGCACTGGGAATACAAAGCCATTAACACAAAGTACCTGCACTAGACTAATCCAATTAGCAAACATGTGTGTTCGATGTATCTTCAACACCCGTCTTTTCCTCTGGTACATTCTAAAATACACCTTAAACCATCTCTCTTCTCTATTGTCACTTTTACTTTCAAAATTACTGTAATGATTTCTTTTGCAACTGTTTCTTGAAAATGTCTTCCACTGGAATTCATAAATTATTCTGCAAATATAGACTGATCATCTTCCGTGGGCCAGCCACTTTGGTAGCTGGAAATAATGATAGAGAGAATCAAAAATTCTGAAGTGAATGCCCTTCCTCTTCCTCCCCACCTGGAACCTGATCTTCCTGGAACCTGAGTTCAGATGTCTTCATCTCAGAGGAACCTGGTCACTCTCTCCTCAGCGTTCATAGAGCTCCCTGTATATACTTCTATTCTATCATTTTTCATGTAGTTTTCTGATCATTTATTTACACATCCCTCTCTTCCACTGGCCTGTGGGCTGCTCAAAGGCAGACAGACTGTCTGGCTCACCACATATTTTTATCTCCTGGCGCAGAGCCTGGCACAGGATGGACCAGTCCTCAATGAGCTGTTACTACCTGCAGTCTCCCATTCCTCCTGCTCTCAGCCTCTTCTCGCTTGAATGTACTCTAACCG